GAGGAACACCCCACGGCCCACCCCGGGCAGGCCCCTCAGGACAGACTTCCCACCATCCTCAGTTCTTACGGACGCCACGCAGGGGCAAGGAGGGGCTAGGAAGGAGGTTGCTCTCGCCCACTGATGCACAGGAGACACCCCGGTAAGGGTGCATGTGATGGCGCTCCCACAGCGCTGGCTCCTGTGGGGCTCCTTTCAAAATGCTTCACAAATGACGGAGCATCCCATCCTCACAAGGACCCCGTGAGTGAGGTACTAATATCATCCCCGTTTCACAGAGGAGAAAACTGAGGCCCAAATAAACACATCCCATACCCAATGCACTCATACATAACAGTCACCCCCTCACACACACATTCATGAACCCCACATTCTTTTCTACCTTCCTACTCTGTACAGGGGACACACGGAGCCCTGGACAGGGCTGAGACCTGTGGCTGCCCCGGGAGCCTGGGAAACCCTGCTGGGGAGAAGGAGGCCGTGTGGCCCGGGCAGACCGCCAGAGGGAACGCAAACCTGGGCCGGGATTCTCCCAGGGCCAAGAGCACTCCACTGCCTGGGGCCAGCTTCTTGTCTCTCACAAAGCCTGCTCCTGTCCCCTGCACTTGGGCTCAGCCCCTGGGGCTGTTCAGGGTGACCCAGATCCCCCAGGGGATAAGATCAGTTTAGTTTTCAAGGTATCTGTGCAACGGCCTGAAGAACCCCCTTCAGGAAGTGAAACGGCTCTTCTTCAGAGCCGGAGGCAGCAGAAGCGCCATGCCGGCCGGCTAGGCACAGCAGGTGTCTCTGCTTCTCGGGCTCTCTGTGGGCCTGGTGTGCTCCCATCTGGCCGGCGGGGCCTGTTGCCTTGGTCCTTGGACACAGGAACAGGACAGTGTCCCACAGCTTTATCAGCACACAGTGTGCCCCATAGCCTGGAACACACTCTTGGCCTTGTCACGCAAACCAGGCTGTTCCCTCATGGTCTTTAGACAGCCTCGTGCACACACAGGCCCGTCTCCTCACAGAGCTGTATATACCTGGGCCTCTCACCTCTCACCTCAGATACAGAAACAGGCTCATCTTCTCACAGCTCTGTACACACACAGCCTGCCCTCAAAGCCTGCGACATACTCTTGGCCTTGTCACACCAACCAGCTGTCCCCCATGGCCTTGTACACATAGATAGGCCTGTCTCCACAGGACCTGGCCTCCAAGGGGCACCGAGTCAGAAATGAGGCCTCATTAACTCAGCACAACTGTTTATGCTTCCATCCCTCCAGGAATTGGCCTCAGGGGCTGAACCACCCAAACCAAACAGGGCTGGCCCCCCCAAGGAGTCTCAGGACAGCATGCTCTGCTCCAGGGGATGCTGGAAGGGCTGCAGCTGCCATCACGCTGCCCAGAGTAACCCCATCCACACTCCTTCACAGGACCAGAGATGCTGATTTTCCGCCTGCAGGGCTCCAAGGGCAGGAGGCTGGGAGGCAGGGAGGAGTTGCTGGGGTGGGGCAGGGACAGGGGTTCTGAGGGCTGGGATCCTATAAGTCAAGTCTCACTTCCCCTTCAGGTGGGTTTGGGCAAAGGACACAGATCTCCTCACACTGAGACGGTTCGATGCCGGGCGCTGAGGGAATGCCCCGAACGGACCGTGCTGGTAGGTGACGGCATGCAGCCACACTGGCACTCAGAGCTGCGGCCATGGCAACGACAGGGTTACCAGGATGGAGCAGAGACTGGCAAGAACGTTACACAGCTATGTTACTTACACCCTGCCTTGCTTCACAACACAACAGGAGGCAGATTCCACAGCAGCGTTTCTCGGCCTATTTTCATGACTGTCCTTCTAAGGAGCCTTTTTGGACATCCTGATACCCCAAATCCCCTCCTGCCTTTGCAATTAAATATTAAAAAATAAGATTTTGTTGAACAGAGCTGAACTCTGGAGGACCATGCACTACTGTGATAACTTAAGGTTTTTAAAGCCCCAAACAACAAGTTTTAGGCCCCTAGGGAGAATGCCCAAGAGATACCAGTACAACTTGATAACAACTAAATCAATGGGAACATGGTATTTAAGGGGTAACATTCTTTACAGGCAGGAGAATGTATTCTCTATGTGAACTGCAGCTACAATACGCAAATACATATTGGTATGGGGGGGAGACAAAAACAATATTTAGAAAATTTAAAAACTCAAGCTGAGGTTGTAAGATTTCCAAAGTCCTTCATTTTGCTGTTCTATTGATTTTTTAAGTTAAAAATATAGAAAAGAAAAAGAGGCAAGAAAAGGCCCAAAATGGTTGACTGTAAAAACAGAGGAGAGAGTGATTGCATCAAGAGAAGCAGAAGGTCATATCTTGAGTGGGCTGAAGAGTCCAAAGTTCAGAATCAGGCACAGCTGGAGGCTGGATGGACTCACAGATCTGTACTGAAACCTGCTGTGTGACTACGGGTAAGTCATTAGACTTCTCTGATCCTTGGTTCCCTCGTTTGCTGAATGACAACAAACAGGAAAGCACCTAGCCATGCCTGGTACATTGTAGGTACTCAGTAACTGCATCTCAATTAATGAACACTTGCTAGAACCTAGGCAGACCACTGGACGGGTAAGCTACAGAACCAGGATTTGTATCCAGGCCTCTGGGTTCATTTCGCTAGCAGGCAGGGCCTCCAAACCACCTTATGTTTCTTTGCCATTTCAAAAGAAAGGAGACCATGTCTCCTCCAACCCCATCAAAACGAGGTGGCACAGAGCCACAGGAATGAAATCAAGTTGCTGACACTGAGATACCACTGCCACCTGGTGGCAGCATACCTAAAACATGGGGGGGGGCGGGGGCAATTATCAAAGGGCAACAGCCAGTATCTTACACATGCCTAAGGCACAACCCAATGCTTATACAGTAAGAAAAGCCATCCTACACCGACCGCCACCTGGCAAAAGGGGTGCACGCTGCTCGCTGGTTCCTTGACACTTGGGTGTCCTGGATGCTCTCTTTCTCTTTTTTTAAATTTAATGGATTAAATTCAACAACCACAAACAAACCAAACACCACCAAAATCGAGTGCAGACACCCAGCTCTTCATGAGAACTGCCAGCAGCCCAGGGACCCTGAATTCGATGCTTGGTCAATCAATCGTCTGAACCCCACTCGCAATCCTTGACGCCAGGAAGTGTGCATTCCAAGCCTGTCCCTTTCAGATCATCTTTCTAGCCAGTCTCTCGAAATTCAGTTTCTGTGCCCACCGTCCTAGCCAGCCCCTGTAGCTGTGTGGTGTTCACAAATCCCACCCGCGCCGCCTTTCGGGTGTTGACACAAATCGCTGTTGAAGGAAATGGTGACCGGGGCAAGGCAGAGACAGAGTTTTAGTGCAATACCACTCAAGACAGCCTCTCTCTTAACACTGACCTTGGCCACCTTTTCGATGAGGCGTTTTCCCAACCTGTCAGGTGGGCTGTATATCTCTGAGTACTTTCTGCCCTGTCCTGAGCTAAGGAAAAGCAAGGCAACCCTTAGTGAGGGAGGGCTCACGCAGTGAGAAAAAACACACTGAGAACAAAGACGGGGAGGCGACTTTGGCAGGTAAACGGCCTCCTCCTTCAGGGAGCCCCCAACCACCAACACCCTAGTTATCTTCCCCCCCTCTCACCTGCTCTGGCATTTAACTCCCAGATGGCCCCTGGTAGGTCCTGACGCATGCCCTGCCTGTCTTGGGACACACCTGGTTAAAGAGAGCCAGGCCTTAGGGACACTCTCCCTGTGGACAGGAGCCCTCAGCAGTACCTGTTGATTCTGTGAGCGAGCACGTGCCTCCTCACCTTTTAGCTGCCACCCAGTACTTCCCACCTCCATTCAGACACACAGGGGTATGTACGGGGAAAGGTAGGTTTGAACCCCGCCGCAGCCCCTTATTGACTATGGAAGCGGGGCTCCAGTCTAGCCTCACAGGGCTGCGGCGAGGGCAAACAGACATGGCGGGCAGGTGTCTGGTGCTCAGGGAACGCCAGTGCTTTCCCTTCGCAGCCCCAACTCGGAGACTCAGGCCCAGCCTCTGAGACTGCCCTCCAGGCAGCAAGGCGAGAGGGCCTGCAGCTGTCGGGGAAACAGAGAGGAGTGGCTCTCTTTGGGATCAGGAATGTAATTTTCCGGGGTTGTATTTCCGTCCTCCGCCTGGCTGTGACAACAGCCCCTCGAGAGGCACGAGAGGAATTCTGAGTGTTCCCTGGGTTGTCCTGTGGCCTTAAACCCTGCGCAGGGCCAGCTGCTCATCCTCCGCAGCTCTCCAGCTCACAGTGCAGCCATTCCAGCCATGCCCGGCTGGCTCCGTGAGGCCATGGCCCATCACAGCTTGTTCTAAAGTCAAAGATCAGAAGGCGGGAAAGACAGGGATGCGGGGCGTGAGGGGAGGCTGCCTGAGCCAAGGAGCAGGGCATGGACTCCCCACAGGGCTAGGAAGACCCCCTCAGCGGATCTGGCCCCTGGGTTTGTAAGTGACTGGTAAAGGACCAACTTTCCCCACGTGCTGGGGGCTCTGGATCATCCCATGCAGAGCTACAGCTGGGAAGTTGGGCCAAAGAACCAGAAGTTAAGACTGAAAACTCAGTTGGGCTTTTGAATCTCTAGGAAATTTAGCTTTGGTGCCACCTTTAGAAGTTACTTTCAGGACAGCATCTTGAGCCCCTGAAGTCCTGCCTCCCCCAACGCCTTCACATGAGCCCCTGTTCCGACAGCAAGCAGCCCCACATCCTTTTGAAAGCAGGCACAGCACTATAAGGCTATGAGCAAAGTCAAGGGCCAACGGGGCAGGAATGCTGCTTCGGTATTGCAGGGAGAAACGTATCAAATGACAGAGGGTGATGGGGGAGAGGCTTTACACAATGGAGCAGGCTCCATGGCTGAGCCATCTGGAAGGCAAGAGATAGATCTCCGCCTTCATGTCTCTGGGTAACAGACAGTGTTGAGCCATACCCAAAACAGAGGCAGCTGTCGCAAATGAGCAACTGAGTCAGGACTTACCTTCCACTGCAGAGAATGGAACCACTGGTCCCGCAGGTAGCTGTTGGCAGCCTGCAACGAGAAGAACAAGAGAGCAAGGTCTGGTCATAGACGTGCAGCATTTTGGAGCATTTTACAGGCCAGCACACGAGCCTAGCCCGTCTGTCCAACAGGGTCTGCTCTGTGACCCTAGTAACCTTTACAGGGATACATCAGGCTGAACCTTTTGGTACAAAACCAAAGGAGAAGTGATAACCAGGGTGACTTTTCTGAAATATGACCTCGCTGCCATTGCATGCTTGTTTTGCTGGGTAGGAGTGACTTCAGACACTGGTGGCTGGAAGAGCTTTAATGCACAGGAATCTTGACTTATTTAAGATCACGGAAGGGGCCAGATGCGTGGGAGAGAGGCCTGGGTGGGAGGATGATGTGGGTGGGGGGAAGCCCTTTGGACCAAGCACTGCTCCGGCAGCTGGTGGTTATAATGTGCATATCCTGTCGTCAGCTCTCACAACAGCTCTATGACGTAGGTGACACTATGTCCATTCCACAGAGGAAAAAACCGAGACCCTGAGATCTTACATCAACTGAGTACATTCACACCCAAGCAGCCTGTCTTCTAAGCCTGTGGGTTTCACCACTGTACTTCCTGCCAACTGTAGAAAGCCATGGAGGAAAGCAGCCAGCTTTGAACTCAGGCAGGCCTGAGTTAAAATCACTGTGTGGAGAGCAAAACCTTCCTTGACCCACGCCACCCTAGTTCAGAGACCCAGGGCAGCTCAGCCTCGATTTTCTCACCCATAAAAATGGGGAAAATAACTGCAGAAATGTCAGGAGGCTTGAGAATAATTCCTGTGAAGCATCTAGAAGCATGCTGGGCACACACCAGGTGGTGAAACAGAAACACAGCCATTGTTATCATTACCATCATCAATTCCTCTCAAATAAAATGTGGCCGAGGAAGGCCCCGCTGACTCCGATACGTGCCGCTGCTGCTCTCACCCGTGTCCTAGCAGATGTGTGGATGGTGAATGCAATGTCAATGCCGGCAGGGGTGCCCAACCTGCGGCCTGCGGGCCTCATGTGGCCCAGGATGGCTATGAATGTGGCTCAACACAAAATCATAAATTTACTTAAAACCTTTTTTTTCTCACAGTTTTTGTTAGTGTTTGTGGATTTAATGTGTGGCCCAAGACAACTCTCCTTCTTCCAGTGTGGCCCAGAAACGCCAAAAGGCCGGACGGCCCTGGTCACTTTACGGCATGGTTATCGCACGCCAGACCCAGCACCAGGTCCTACGTATGGATTGGCTCACTCAGTCCCTGCAGGTCTACCCTGAGAAACTGGTCCTGGCAGCTGCTCATCCCTATGGTACAGATGAGGAAACTGGGGCTTGGGGTGTTAAAAACTTCCCCCTGGGCTCACAGGCAGCAGGTGTGGGGCCAGGAGGAGCAGTCAGGTGGTCAGACCCATGCCACCAACCACAATATTACGGCAGTCCAAGTTTTCCACTGACCGCCCTCCAAGGCAGAAGTGCAACATCCAGTCCCACCTGACCCCCTCCAGTCCTGTACCAAGTGACCCTGACGGTTGAAGGACTCTCACAGAGGCCAGAGCCGCCCTCTAAACCTGAAAGTCTACCTTTTGCCCACCCCCATGCCCATGCACAAGCTTGTACAACTTTGGCTCTCCCTCAAAGAGATGCAGGTCTCCCCACCTCCTCACCCTAATCACCTGTCAGGGCAGAAGTTGGGGAAATCTCTGGACTTGAATGAATGAGCCAGTTCAGTGGCCAGTGCAGCAGAGGTTCAGGCTCAGAGACTCGTTCCAAACCCTGAGCGGATTCATATCACACCTGGAGGCAAGGGGAGTTGCTCTGATGCATTTTCCCTGCACCTGTTTATTTCTCTGGAAGGAGCCAGCCAGCAGCCCCCAGAGCCTCAGCTGCCCCCAGTTCCACCATGAGCCCTCCTGGCACTCCCAGGTCCAAGCTCACACACCAGGTTGAGTCTGGCCCTGCTCAACAGATTTCCTCTCCTGCCCCTACACCCAGTTGGGTCCACTGTGTCCTGCCTTTCACAGGGGCGCTCGCTGTCTAGAAGGGGCAGACGGTTTCTTCAGTGACACAGACCACCATCTCACCTGACCTTGTCACAATCCCCCCCAACCTTTCAGGCATAACCTGAGTTTTCCAAATCTTTCCTCCTGGAGGCGAGTGTAAACCCCTTGGCCCAGCCACACCCAGCTTCCTGACCATTTCGATCCCCCCTGTGACTGCCTCAACCCAAGCAGTTCAGCATGGCCACCTGGAAAGGAGGCAGGTTGGGCTTCAGCAGAGTGGATTAACCGAGATCCCTTGGGTCAGAAATGACAGCCTGATGTCACTGTCTGGGCACCATATAACATACCCTGCACACATCACGATGAGGTGAAGTGCCATCTCATAGATGAGGAAACTGAGGCTCAGAAAGGCCCTGCTGCCCACGCAGGAGTCTGACCACACGTCACCCTCACTGTCTCCGAAGCCTGGACCAGGACCACCCTTCCTCCTCTACTTTCCTGCACTTCTTCCTGCCACTTGCCACTCACAGAGCCCTTACCCCAGCCCTGTGGTCTGTCTGTGCGCCCACAGAACTGGAAAAGGAGACAGCATCCAGTAGGATTCACTGCATCCTCTCCAGTGAGGCTGGTGTTCAGAGTTCACGGAATGAAATAATTACACATAAAGCAAAGGGCACAGATGCTGGTTGAGGAACTATCAGCCCATCCAGCTCTCCTGTGCCTCCTCCCTCAGGATGCCAGGGAAGCCCCTGGACAGCAGGGAGACAGCAAACATCTCCCACCCCACCCACCGTGCTCATTATTTCCCAGCACAGTTTTCCAGCAGTGTAGGGAGGTGGCCACCATGCTCCCTCCTCCCCTCTAGGCTGGCTGCTCTTCCAAAGCCTCTGATGCCTTCGTCCAGTACAAGGAATGAGGCCCTCTGAATGAGGCTCAAAGGGATTTCAAGGAGCACTCAGTAGAGGGGTTCTCAGTCTTTTAGGGATTTATGAGAACCTGAAACGCTGGGAAAACCTGAAAGAAACTATGGACTCCCACCCAAGTGATGTACACATTTGTACACCAGACACATACCACACACACAACTGTGTAGGCACTGTCAGATTATACCACAGACCGCAGAAACCTGACCTTTCCTCTCCTGCAAAGTTTCTGATGACGAACCTAAGGCCTAGGCTTGCTGTGGTCTCGTCAGTGTCCTGCCCTGGTGTTTTCTGCTCCCTTCAAGCACGTGGTAGGTACTCACAGCCTGGTGACTTGCTTTGGCCAAAGAAACATGAGCTGACGTGACCTGTGTCACTGCCAGTGGAAGACATTAAGAGCCAGTACAGTATTTGGTAGTTCCCTGGTAACCAGAAACATTGCAGTGGTGTGTGCTCCACCAGCAAGCTCCCAGCTAACCCACCAGGAGTGAAAAATCCTTTGCTGTTTTAAGCCACTTAGAATTCGGGGCTGTTTGTCACTGTAGCATAACCCGGCATAACCTGGCTTGCTCTGCTTCTTCTTTTCTTGTTTTTAGGTCTGACTTTCATACAGGGTATATATCCCGCATACCCCTCCTTCACCTGTCCCTCACTGCCTGCTGGATTATTTACCCTTCAGGCCTCACCTGAAATGCCAGTTCTCCAGAATACCCGTCTTAATGGTGACTTGCCTGTCCGCACCCCCTCCCCATCAGGTGGTGAAACCTCATCTGACATATCACACTATCCTGTAATTGCTTGTTCCTTGGTTCTTCTTCCTCTCCAGGCTGTGGGTTCTGTGAGGTCAAGGACCATGTCTGACTTACTCACCACTATGTCCACAAAACCCAGAGAAGTCTTTGTTAAATGAAAGACTGGCTGACCTGTTGAATGGATGAATGATTGGCTAGATGAATACATGGGTAGATGGATGGACCGGTGGATGGGTGGATGGACGGGCAGATGGATAGAAAATCACTACGCCCATGTTACTCACTGAAGAAGTGTCATGTGTAGTTGACTTTCAAAAGAACTATCCAGCCTTGATATCCTCTCTTTCCCAAGCTGTATCTGACTAAGGCTCTAGAAATAATCATGGCAGTTTTTTTTCTGAACACCTACTATATGCTAGATACAGTGTTAAGTATCCTACATATAGTACTGCTAATCCTCACCAGTACTATGAGTCCAGTTCATGGACAAATCAGAGTTCCAAAGAGGTTATTCCTGCTGCCCAAGGTCACACAGGTACAGCACAGAAGATCTGGGCTGGGACTCAGGTCTGTCTGATCCCTCTGCCTGCTCTCTCCACTGCCCACACTAACATGAGAGAGAGTGATGCACCTAAGCTCCACTGGGCTCCAGGAGCTGGGCTGGGAAATCTGAAAGTATTATGCTGATGACGGGAGATGGGGAAGGACTTGGCACCTGTTCCAATAGCCAGGAGGCCCCACCTCTCAAACAAGAGAGTGGGCCAGAACTCTCCTCCAGAAGAGAGGAGGTGACTTGTGGTGCAGCCGCTGCACCCTCACGGCCACTTCCCCTCTCATTGATGGAGTTAGCGGTTGCAACAAGGATGGGCCACGAACTGCTTCTTCCTTTGGCTTGTCCGGTTTTATAGAAGGCAGAGGTTTCTCAGGGATGTCCGGAATCCCTGAGCGGGCATCTCTAAGTGCCTTCCAAGGATGGGGAAAGAGGACTGGGCTGAGCCCGGCCTGGGGGAGAGGGCAAGCTTCTGCCCAGAGCCCCAGTGCTGCCATGTGGACAGATGAGTGGGACAACCCGGCCCCCTGGGACAGGGGGCACAGCTCAGAGTCCTGAGGCTCACTCAGAGGAGCCGCGACTCAAGCATGGGAAAACGGCCCTAGAAGAGGCAGGCCTGCCTAGGTCAGTGCAGACTTTTTCCAGTGATAAATCTTTCGAATACCGAAAGGGCCCGGTTCCAGGCAAACTCTGCTTAATTTCCTCTTCAAAAGTTGCCAAGTTCTCTCATTGTTGTATTGTCTCAAGAGGTGAGAAAAACAGCCAAGGGTGCACTGGGGGTGACTGTTTCCAAGTCGTCCTTCCCCAGTTCAACGTCTCAGGGAAAAAACAGCATGTGACCTCCAGACCGGAAAGGTCTTTCTCTCCAGCTTCCAGTAAGAGGGGAACCCGCCCTGCCCCTGCCCCTGCCCCTGCTGCCAGCATTTGGGATAAACAGTTGCCCGGAACGTCCGTGAGAAGAGCGGGTCTTGGAAACCGTTCCAGTAGGAAGCAGAAGCTCTCGGGGAGGAAGGTTCTCCTGGGTCTTGTCTCGCCCGCAGCCTTGTTTTAGGAGCAGCGGCCCCCGTCCACTTCTCACGGAGAAGTGGAAACCCCACCGTGAGGCCGATATCCCCGAAGACGACCTGCCACCACACAGCCTGTCCACGCCGGCCACCCCACCCACGGGCCACACCCCGTGGGTGCTTTCACAGAGCCGTTCATGCGCTTACGCAGTTCCCTCCTTGCAATGAAACACCAGCAGAAAGGGCATTAAGGGAGGAAAAAAGATAAACAGGTCCTTTCTGCACCCGGGGATTCTAATAATATGGCATTAGGGAGCTCACGCTGAAAATCACAAAGCATCCAGAAACACACCAATTGGACCCGGGCTGGAAGGCTGGCGCCTTCGTCTGGGGACTCGACCTGCTGGCAGACTGCTTGGCATCTCGGAGCTGGGAAGAGGGCATGTTTGCCTGAGTGTCTCTTAACCTTCCTTAAACTCAGATAGGTCAGCTCCCTGAGGTCTGAGTGAAGCACCGATTCAAATTCCAACAAAGCAGCTTTGTAAGCAGGTCCCTTAGGAGAGCAACAGAGAGAAGAGAGGGAGGAAAATTGAGAGAGGAGAGAGAGACAGGGAGAGTTAAGTCAAGATGCCCAGAGAGAAGGGCTGGGGTGGAGAGACGTGCATGGAGAAAGATACCAGAGAAAAAGAAAACGCAAGATTGTGAAATAGAGCAAGAGATAAAGAGAGGGGCAGAAGGGGAGGGGGAGAGGAAGGGAGAGAAGACAGGGAGCAGAAGTATCAGAAAGAGCAAAACCGACTCACATGGATATGGAGTACCTGAGAAAGGGGAGAGGGGAGAGAGAGACACCAGGTAGACTCGGGTAGGGACCCCGCAAACCCTGACATCGCCCCTGTGCAGGGAGCAGCTGTGCTACATGCAGCAGGAGGGGACCCTGTTCAGGGACGCGGGGATGCTGGAATGCTATAGACCTGCCTGCATTCTGAGGCTTTTTCCCCTGGGAGTGGGCGCGATGCATGGAGCACGGTCGAAATGAAAAGTTCTAAAGTCCAGCCTGTCCAGCAGAAGTTCGGGTGATGACAGCAATGTCCTTTATCTGCCCTGTCCCATACAGTAGCCACTGACTACATGTGGCTATTGAGGACTCGAAATGTGCCTAGTGGATCAAGGAACTGCATTCTTGATTTGATTTAATAAATTATATTTAAATGCAAACAATCCTGTGGGGCTAATGGCATCTGCCAGGACAGTGCCATTTGAGGCGCTGTTGTCCTCTGAGGACCAGAAGCACACAGGTGAAGCTCTTCAAGTCAGCCTTGCCCCTGAGCATCCCTGGCTGCTTCTCAAGCCTCCCTCCCACCACAGCAGGGAAGACTGCTGTGTCATGGCATGGCTTTGGGTCCTGTGTGTAAATGGAGATAACCCCGAAGCAAAGGATCCTGCTGACTGTCACAACAGTAGGTGAGGAGCACCCTGTCCTGCACCTGGGGGCACCACCCTGGGGCTCCAAGTGCCCCTGGCTACCCCATAACCACATGAACCCCCTCAGCCTGGAGTCTATGTTCAAGATGACTCAGAACACATTTACATAGTAAGAGGGCCGCACAACCCCATGAGTCATGGGAAGGAGGGCAGGAGGGTGACAATAAGAAGGAAGCAAGGCGGAAGCCAGTGGAAATGACAGCAAGAGACACAAGGCAGGTGCACCCACCTGGGATCCCCTGGATGATGGGTGGAGGCTGCGTCTGCTTCCCCTGCTCTAGATGAGCGTAGTTCTGGATCGCATAAACTGCCGACCGCCTCCTCCTCCTCCCTCTCTCCCTGCACTCCTGCTCCAGCCTCTGGCTCCAGGGCTGTGCGAGCTGCACTGTGCACTGGAGCAGAGGGGCGGTGAACTAGGGGGATGCTGGAGCAGCCGCAGGCCAGCCCGTCTGTCAGCACAGCGGGGAGGGCTCTGCGTGAGGCCACTGCCAGGTGCAGCCCCAGCCAGGCAAGGCGAGTCATCACAGCCGGCCCGCAGCCATGGCCTGGGTTAAAGGGACATGCCCAGTGACCCACACCCCTGCAAGCCTCACTGCCCCTCTGCCCCCAGGGCATGTATGACACTTCCTGGCAGGGCACTGCTGCTCCTTCCAGCTCCAGAAGCAGGGAGGCCCCCTGCTGCTCCCACTGGCAGCCATAGGGACTATGACCACTATGCCCAGGGAGCTGGGGGCTCGGGGCCTCCTTTCTCTAGCTGGACTTTATTTATTTGAAATATTTAATTTATTTATTTTTAGAGACAGGGAAGGGAGGGAGAAAGAGAGGGAGAGAACATCGATGTTTGAGAGATACACAGTTCAGTTGCCTCTCACACACCCCCAATGGGGGACCTGGCCCGAAACCTGGCCTATGCCCTGAACCGGGAACCGAACCGGCTACCTTTCGGTTGGCAGGCTGGCACTGAATCCACTAAGCTACACCCCCAAATGGACTATTTAAAGGGTTTCTTCTCTCCTGGCTCCCTCTGGCACTCACATATCCAGCTGCTTCTGCCATGCAACCAGACTAATCCCTCTATTGTCCTCCTGTCCCTTAGGAGCTTTCAATAGCTCCCTATTGCCCTCAGCTTCTTCATTCAGCTAACGAGACTTACATATCTGGCTGTGATTGAACTGCTCTAGATGCATCCACAGGGCCCTGAACGCCCCTCTGCCCTCCCCTGCAAGGCAGCAAACACCCCCGCCCCTAAATTCATGCTTCACTCCTGAGCTCCCTCGGCCCAGAGTGTGTGCCACCGTCCTGGCACACTCCTACTCACCCCTCAGTGCCCAGCTCTAATGTCTCCATTCCCAGAGCGCTTTTTCTGGCACCCCTAGGCTGAGCGAGTCACTCCCCACTCTGGGATTCCAGTCCTGCGGGACATGCCTCCATTTCAGCTGCTATCTCTGCAGTCACTTGTTTATGCCTCCGTCTCCCTAGAGGGCCCAGGAGTTCTTCAGAAAGGGGGCCAGGGGCTTATTCACCGTCCTCCCGCAGCACAGGGGACACGCTGTCTCAGTGCCCCGTGGTTCAAACGGGGTTTCCTCGGCGCCCATCTTCTCTCAGCTTTCCACAGAACCCCCCTCTTGCCTCCCTCATCTTCCACCGCTCCTCTTCCCATCCAAGTGGGCTGGAACTGACCATTTCTTTCATAGACTCAACAGAGAGGTAGGCATGGTTTTGGCATCTTCCAAGAAATAACAGCAAAGAAAGGGATTTTTCTAAAGGATGTTTAGCTGCTGACTTGTCTTATTGAGCTCAGCATTCCTCAGAGGCCCAACTGCGTGCCTTCTGGCTCCACTGTTGCTGTACAACCCAGGGGCCACTTATGAAACGGGTTCTAGGGCGCAGCTCTTTGGGCTCAGAGCAGGTCTCATGGGAGTGACAGAGTCAGAGAGAAAGTGCCTGTAAAAGAAAGGCCAAGGCAGACCGTTCTCCCAATAATGACAGCGTACACTCTCTCTAAATGAGGGGCGTCTGCCTTGGAAACTGGGGTGGCTCTCCCTGAAATGACACAGAACACATCGCATGTATGTACTGCAGCCGCCGTGTTATTTTTTCTGCCACAATTCCTTTTGTGGTGGACCAGACTCTCACAGTCCCATGAGGTCTTGGTAGGGCTACCTGAGTCCAGAGCTGCCTGTTGTCAAGGGTGGGCATATAATGCAGGCAGGGTATTCCCCAGGATGCAGGGCTATAGCAGAACCCATCAGAACCTTCCATCAGATTTTGTAGACAGATACTGGAAGGAAATGGGCTTTCACGTTTTTAAGGCTGACAAGCTTCAAGAATGTAACTTGAGGCTGCCAGAGTCCTTCTTTCCCATCACATGGAGAGACCACGCCTGACAAAGAAGCCAACACAATGAAGAAGAGCCAGGAGATAGCCAGAGAGAGACACTGAATGTTAATGATGGCAGTGAACTCCTGGATCCAGCTATGCCTGAAGTCCCTAGACTTCCCAGTTACTTTAATACAGCTTACAACATCAAATTCTCTTTTTGCCTTGCATACTTTGAAAATTGTTTGCATCATTTCCATCAAACAGCCCTGACAAATGCACACAAGATGCACTTTTCCAAGAGCTCTTACTTCCATCAGAGTCTCAAAAGATTTCAATCAACAAGAAGAAACCTCCTCACTCAAAGTAGAGCAAAAGGGGACACCTGCTACTTACTAGCTTCTTACAGCCATTTAAGGCCTAACAACTGTGCCTATGTGCTTCAGTTTCCTCATCTGAAAAATGGGCATCAGAAAGCCCATTTTTCAGGTTCATTAAGAGAAAAAACAGTACAATGTATAAAGCTCCTAGACTGTGGCAAGTATTCAGTAGGAGCTCAATCTGTGTGCATTCCCTCTTCCACTCACCAAATGAGCCCGATTTACACTTTCCTTGTACTTGGAGGAAAAAACACCCTAAGTTAAACAATCTTTCCTCTTGATAGTTGGCTATCTCCCTCCAAGAAAACAGAGGAAGGTGGGGCTGGGAGAAGAAACTGCTGGTTCATGTTTATTTCTCCTACCTGCAGTAAGACAGTTCCCCCAGGAATTGTGAGCTGTAAACAGTACTTCGGGGCATTCTCCCAGGACAGCAGCTGAACATCTTCAATAGCGCTGTAGGAGACTGAGTTTTCCATGTACCCAGTTGGCTGCAGCAAAAAAAAACACAAAGAAAAGATATGCATTGGTTATAAGATCAGGTATAACATCCATGCCTCAGGAGAAGGTTCTGGAAACACCCCCACTGTGGCAAGAGCAAACCTAGCTGGTACACACACCTGGCACCTGTAGGGACCAAAGGCACTTCATCTTTCCTAGCTGGTGCATACTCCAGCTGGAGGGGCGGAGCCACAGAGGAAGCTCGTCCACATGTTTGTTTGGGTATATAATTGTGACTAAACTGGAGGCGCCCTGAGGTAAGGCCTGTGCACTGTTCTCTGGGCACTGGCGAGGCCTAGTGCAGGTGGAGCCACGACCTCTCCTTCCCAGAAAGCAGGTTACAGCCCGCCATGGGTCTCCCTGCCTCACCTTTCCCCACAGATATGCCTTCTCCACTCAGCACCCTGGGCCACGAGCCAAGGTGGCAAATCAATCAACCCCCCTACTCTCCTGCTCAGCATCCTTCAATGGTCCCAGTGGTCTGACCATGAAGCAGAAGCTCCCACCCACCACTGACATGCCCCACAGTTCTGGTCTCACTTCCTTCTTGGACCCACCCTGCATCTTCTCTCCCTTTCCAAGCTCCCACACAGGCCTGCTGACGGCACTGCACCCTGCTCTGTCCCAGGAAGGCCAATGCCCCACCCTGTCATCTCTTCTTCTACTCTCCAGGGCTCAGCTTAGCAGCCTTCTCAAAGGGGGAGCCCACGACCCTCCAGACCCCAGAGCCCACCCAGTTGCAGCCTCGCTTGAGTCCTCTGCTGGCCACACCTGGGTTAATGACTTGTATTGCATCTTATCTGTTTGATGTTTGCCTCCTGGCCAGGCTGCGCCCCGCCAGGTCAGGCCTGTGTCTGTCTTGGTTCCTGTTCTTTCTCCCCAGGGCCAGACGCGTGGCAAGGGCACAATTTGTATTTATAGATAAACACACATAGAACGATAAAGACCATCATCAGTCAGCACCAACATGAGGGTAGGACAAGAGAAGTTCACAGCCACTCACTGCTGTCTGAGTGACTTCTGCTATCATGAACAGAAGGCACCAGGTACCAGGTGAATGAACTGGCCACCAGTACCCGCAGTGCCCTTGTTCTTCTGGCCCCAGGAAGCCAGACTCCAGCAGACTCAGAGGTGAGTACAGCACAGCTGAAAGTAACAGCTCACATCTCCTAAGCCCGACATGCACCAAGCACTGCCGGGCACATGCAAGTGCTGTCCCCTGTGATCCTCACAACAGGCCCATGCCGCAGGTGCAGCACCACCCCCTTTCCACAGATGAGGAAGCTGGGGCCAAGGGAGTCACGCCACGCAGCTGGGCAGGGGCATGGCCAGCACTGAACTCAGCGGCTGACTCAGAGTCAGCACCCTGACCGCTAAGCTGTACTGCAACAAAGAGGCACAATTTAAAATCTATGCAACAAGCTGACTTTACCAGGATGACTGAGGACTTCCACGAGGTTTTTACATTTCAATTTCTGCCTGCCAGAGCTGAGACACAGTGGCGGTGCCGATGGTGGAGAAGGCTGAAGGCTTAAGCTGCCTCAAATTTCCCTTGATCCAATCAGTCACCAGGCTCTGGAAGTTAGAGTAACTGATGGATCGATTTGTTCACCCATTCATTCCCTTGATATTCCTGAGCACCTTTGATGTTCCGGGCCCCATACCAGTGCTGGGGATACAGCAGTGAATGAGACAGGAGCCCAGTGAGGCAAAGAGACAATGAACGAACAAAATACCCAAGTAAATAAACTACTGAAGAACAGTGGCACTACACCAAGAACCAAAACAGGACGCGGTGACAAGTGGCTGAGCGCTGGAGCACTGTGGAAAGACAGAGGGAAAGCACCGTATTTTGCTGTGTATAATGCGCACTTTTTGCCCACATTTTTGGGGCGAAAATAAGCATACGCGTTATACATGGGTAGTACCCGAAAACCTGGTAACTGTTCTCGTGTTTTGTAGATGTTACATAAAATTTCCTGTATATAATATGCTAAAAAATAAATGCTAACACTCCTTTAGAATACAAGAAACAAATACCTAAATATAAATAAATAAATAATTGAATTAAAAAATTAAAACACAAACTTTTTTCCTGGAAGTTTGAGCCAAAAACGTGAGTGTGCATTCTACATGGCAAAACACGGCATGTCCCAGAGCCCACAGCCAGCGCAGAGGGCCCAGGGGCTGGCATAAGCTGGGAGTGCTCAGGGAGAACCGGAGGGCAAAGGGACGCAGGGCTGGAGTAAGAAATGCCTTGGAGAGATGGGTAGGCCACTCCAGGAGGGTGTGGCAAGTGAAGCTGGAGGTCCAGTTAGTGCTGCACACCGCCTCAGGGCTTTGGGTTGGGCCAGTTTCACGGCATCTCAGGGACTGCTGCAGGAAGAACAGACTCAGGAGTGGGTGGAAGCAGGGAGGGAACGGCCTGGAGGCTGCTGCACAGGCCCAGGTGAGCGACCAGGCTGCTCAGACCCCCGTGGGGAGACAGCCAAGTCCATCTTGCAGTTCTCACCAGCACACAGCCCACCCTGGGGCACCAATCTTGGGGCTGCATGTCTGCATGCCCCAAAGTAAACACTGGGGCTCCCCTTCACCCTCTACCCTATCCCGGCATCTCCTGCAACTTATGTTTTCAGTGTCTGCAATAAGTGACTCAGCATTCATAGCACACCTTGTCCTAAGAGTATCAGTAAAACCAGGGGCTTGGGGATTGGTTATATGCTCATTCCCAAGCCAACATTCAAATGTTTACTGTGTGGGCTGCTGATTGTCTGTCTCCCCTGCTCATGTCTCAGCATCAGGAGAGCAGGAATTTTTACCTGTTCTGCTCCAAGTGCCTAAACAGTGCCTGACACCGAGGAGATGATTATTTTCTTAATAAATGAAGTAATATTTTCCTAAATAAAAAATGTTCATCTGCATATTACTTATAATCTCTACACATAACACACTTGGGAAGATGCTTTTAGGTTATTATTTTTTTTAATTAAAAATAATTATATAAATTTTTAAAAAACAGCTTCAGGAAGCAATGACACCTGGGTGCCCAGATGCACCAAAAGCCTTCCCTTGTGGCTCACACCCACCTCTGTCCCTTTTGAAGGTCTGGTCAGCCTCCAAACCCCAGCCCACTGACCCCTCGATATGCACAGAGGCCAGAGCACATGAGCTAAGACGTGGCTGCTAGTGCATCTGGAGAATTGTGGACCACGCCAAACACTACAGACATAAGAACCCATTCTGAAAACCCCAACCCTATGGGACAGCGTAACCATACCGAGTTGGACCTGATTACCCAAACGAAGTGCACGGCTGGCCTTGTTTCTTCAGAACCCCACCTTGGACGCACAAGTAGAAGGCCTCAAGACTTCTGTGCCCCACCACGGCCACCTCGGAGACCCTGAGACACAATGAGACTCTGCCCAGGGCCCAAACCAGGCCCCTGGCAGCACAGTCCAGAAACCCGCTGCTGACATGTGTGATGGACATGAGCGAGGGCTTGCCAACCGCCTGTGTCCGCCTTTCTCATGACCCTGCTTTCACTGTCTCAATGTGGCCTTGATTAGAAGTTGCAACACAGGCAGGCTCTAGGGGAAAGGCTGGGTATAAATAAATACATACTGGTTTTTAATAGCGGATGAATTGCTTTCCCACTGTTTGGAGCAATGTTGGCTAAAAGCAAAATCTGCACGATCAACGAGACCTATGTTTGAGCCATTTACTGTGTGTCTTTACACAAGTTACTGTGCCTCTCTGAGCCTGATTCCTCTAACAGTAAATGAGAATTTGATAGATAGAACTATCAGGAGCCTTAAAGGAGATCCAATTTGTCAAGGGCTTAGCATAGCATCTGGAACATACAGAAGAGCTCAATAAAATCAACTATTATGAAAAAGACCAAACTTCATCTCTGGGGTTTTCCTGCTTCAAACACACAATGCTGGTTAACCATTAGAAAAACATCAGACAAAACCTAATTGAGGAACATTCCTCAAAACACCTGACCAATACTCATTGAAAACAAGGAAAGTCTGAGCAACTGTCCCAGCCAAGAGAAGTCAACAGAGACACCATGACTAAGTACACTGTGGGATCCCGGATGGGGTCTTGGGACAGAAGAAGGACATCAGGTAAAAACTAAGGAGATCGAATGAAGTGTGAAGGTTAATAATAGCACATCAATCTTGGTCCGTTAGTTGTGACAAATGTACCATGCTAATGTGAAATGTTAAGAATGGGAGAGACAGGGTGTGGGGTGTATGGGAGCTCTCAGTACCGTCTTCGTTACTTTTCTGTACATCTCAAACTGTTCCAGAATAAAATGTTCAGTGAGAAAAACTAACTGCTGCCACCACCGCTATGGTCATCACTATTAATCGTCATCATCGGCAGTGCCCGTGAGGTTTACAAGGGAAGTGGGACAGAACAGGATCCAAAGCCCCCAGGTGCTGCTCTTTGGTTGAGGGATGAGCTGCCTGTGACCGAGGACGCCCTTCATCGGAGGTACTTTCACACCCTTGGGAGGACTTCACAGGTAACTGATAATTCCCTGGTAATGTGAACACGGTGATCAGAGCTACAGTGGAGGAGATTCCTGCATGGGGTAAAGGCTGAGTTAGAAAAAAGAAAAATTAAATTCTCTGGGGGAAGCTAGGAAATCCAGCTCTGAGAGGTACTTTTAAGAGAATACTAAGCAGATTACAAGTTATTTCTACATGTAAAAGCAGTGCAAGATGTACTGTGCTCCCACTTAAATGACATCCTGGAATTAGCAGAACTACAGGGACAGGGGAGGCGATCGGTTACAGAGGGGAGTGGGGAATGTCTGGGGTGACGGGAATGTTCTCTGTCCTGCTTGTGGTGGGGGTTACTTGACTGCACACATTCACCAAAACTCACAGATCCGCACACTAAAACAGTGCATTCCACCGTGCGCAAATTACAACTCAGGCCGGACTAAGAAAGGCAATGCATGAATATTCAAGATAAC